ATTGAAGAAATCAATAATTTTATGACTGTAGATAATCCCTTAATTGAGTCACTCAAGGTCTATTTTCTTCGTGAACTACGTCATAAAGGTCTTTCAATTGATGACGTAAAACGATTCTGTACAGCACACACAAATAAATTTCCTTGGTTATCCACTTTCAAATGGAATGATAATAAAGATACTCGTCTTCCATTTAATCCATATTGGCAACTACCGGAATACCGCCAGGCAGAGAACGCATTTAAAGAATTGTACAGCATTGGTAACAAGGCTCCTTTTCAGGCTTTTATGCAACAATTGCAAAATATTAATGCATTTCGTGCAAGAATTGCATTAATTGGACTTATTATATCTCGCCTACATGTGGTTAGGGCATCTCGTGAATGGGGTGCGCCAGAAAATCAATCTGCAGACTTTTTGAAGGTCGTTGGTACAATGAACAATTTATCAGCTGGATATAAACAAACTATAGGAAGAATACTTTCAAACAATCAATCTCTACTTCGCTTAGATCATACTATAGATAATAGTAATTTGTTCTTAAAATCAGTTATAGCTCATATTGTAGCATTACATGCTTCAATTCCACCAAATTCCACACCACTTGCGGCATATTTCCATCAGATAGATGCATGTCAAAATATGTTTATTTTGGCAACCGTTTCTGATATTGAATCATTAATTTTAAGCGCTGTAATTAATGGAGGTGGTGGACAAATTACTCGGTAAGGTGTTAGCATTATTATTATTGTTAATTTTATAAATTTTTACTAAATTTTTATTTTCCAGATATTCGTGTCAATGTGGATATATGTATGTAATTGCTAACTGTGGTCAGGCAATGGAAGCGATAAGGTGTCCGGGATGTAAAAATAATACAATTGGTGGGGCTAACCATACGTCAGCAGCTGGAAATCGAAAATTAGATAACACGCCAATAACTGGCCCTATAAACTCCAAAGATCAACCTGGATATATCGGAGAACGATTTAACAATGCGATTGACCATTCAGTTCGATCTATGCCGCCTTCTTCTTATAGAATTTTACATTTAATCGTTCATGCCTTAATTGGATCTTCTGCGCACTCTCCGACAACATTAAATTTCTTACGAAGACATAACCAAACAGCAGATAACACTGAACAATATTGTCTGGGCCATATTATTACTGATTGGACAGTTCTTAGACAAATTCTTAACTGCTCAGATGAACACTTGGCATTGCTGTTTCATTCATTACTTACAGCTATGACACAAACACCACCGCCTGCGTCAATGCTAAGGACATCAGCTGAACGTGACGATTGGGAAACGAAATTTACGCGAAATTACGTTTCTCCATTAATTAGGAGTGTTACTGAAACGGTAACAACCTTTAGCACAGCATTAGCCGCTGCATCTGCAGGTCAAGGCAATAATGCCAATATTATCGAATCTGAAATTGATCAAACAAGAGCGATAGATGAAGAATATCGAATTTCGAAATTACCACGACTTTGGCGTAAAATTGACTTAGTTACTTTTAATAGTTTCCGTGCTTATTATAATGGAGACCTAACGCAATATCAAGCAAAATATCCATTCCTTGCGGTATTTTTCAAATATTCTGAACGATTAGAAATCATTAAGAACCTTTGGCCAATTGTACAATTCGTACAAATCTTATCTTCGCGTCTTTCTTATCGAATCAGTAGAAAAGTCGCAGAAAAGATGACCTTTGACGAATTTATTGATAAGGAAGCGGACAAAGCTGATTTAAATAAAATGTATAAAAAATTTGAGGAATCTTGGAATATCGTTATCGATAAGGTTGATAGATACCAATGTCATGAATTAAGTGAAAAACCAGGAATGAGTCGCAATATGCCTATTATTATGGGATTAATAGAAGAAAAAGATTTGAGTCTTTACCTCTGTGCAATTTTAGAATATTTAATTGGCTTACAAAACAATTTCTTGCGAGATGTTATGACTATTCCCCCTGGTTCTTGTAAAGCACTTAGATTTTTAGAACAAACGTCATTTGATGCAGAAGAGGTAACTTCTGCTATAACATCAACTAGTCAATATTCCGTTCGCTCATTAACACTTAATCAAGCTCATGTTGATAACATTATTTCATATAACCAAGAAGAATTTAGGGGAATTCATATGTTCAGCCAAAGAAATTTAGGAGTTGGACGTGGTCTTGACGTTATTTATGATTTACAAAAAATAGAAGTTGAACTTGCACGGCAACTTGTGTTTGAAAAGGTTTATATAGATACAGTAGGCGAAACTTCATTATACATGCAACCTTTTTCATATCATATGGAACTAATTCAAGTATCCATTCGTATTCTTGGAGATATACAAGAACTAATTCCCCAAGAACCTATTCCAACTGAACTAGCAGAATCGTTAACAGGATCTTCGGTAAACATGCCATATTCTTTCCAATCAAACAGTATGGATACATCGTTTGATAATCCATCAGAGATTCTTTCATCCTTGGAAATTCTGCTTTGCTTTATTAAAAGGACACCCGGTGGCAATGGTGAAAGTTTTATAAAAGATTATGTAAACCAATGGTCAACACTTTCTGGACTTAGCGAAAATCATGAATTTCGTAGTTTGCTAAACAAACCCTTGAGACTTAAGCACATAATTTCCTTATATGAATTAATAGAGGGACTAGTAGCAAATTTAACAATTGAATATACTCATGAAAAATACAAGGAAGAGCTCACTCCTAAACAGCGAGAAGAAATAGACAATATTATAGATTTTGAAGTTAAACAACCTGCAGCAATTGTCAATAGAAAAATAATGAAATTCTCTGCTGAAGTTTTTGCTACAGCTCTTAGAAGATTTATTTATAGATTTTTACAAGGCGAAAAACAAAAAGAGACCGAACCTCTTGCGCTTTACGTTTGTGAACCATCACTTCACTTTTGGCCATCTATAATTTCTGAAACAGAAAATTTGGATGAATTATTCCCAGAAAGCTTGTTAGTTAATCAAGCATTTGAAGCCTACAAATATGTTATTGAACAGATTGAGGTAATTATTTTTGAAAATTTACTAGATTTATTTTTTTTCTATTTTTTTCTATTATTTAATGCTAAAAATTTTTTATAGCATCATAAACAAATGGCATCCTTACGAGAACAACAAATACAAACCAGTCTAAACAATCCAGAGGCTACAAGATTACCCCCATCTATTCCAGCATCTCAAAGAGGACCATCTACAAGGAGAAGACCGAGACAATATAATGATGTATTTTAAATTTTTTTAGTACATTGAAATTATTATAAGCTACTCCATAATGTTAAACTTTTAAATAGTAAAATTTTCAATTTATTTTATGAAATTTGACGTTTTTGTATTTGAGTTCATAAATATAATTCTGTAATTCAAATAAATAAACTGTAAAAAAACTAGATTAATTCGCAAAATAAAAATAAAATCAACAATATATATGTGTAGTTAATATTCAGATATGTTTTTCACGCAAGAATGATATTTCAATTGCATTACGTCTTGCACGAAATATAAATCGTCTTTTTGTCGCGGTTAATAAGATTGTTCTTAATTACAGCATGGAGGACTTTTTTACCTTTCGATTATAAAATAGTTGACTAATGACAATTACTCTCAAGTACTAAATAATAAACTATTTTTTCTCTTCCTAAATTTTACTACAATTTTATTTACTACAACTGTACTTGATTCTAGACATGATTTACCAAACTGAAATTAAGCAACGTTCTGCACTTTTCTCTTAGCGTTAGGGATTTGTATTTACATTGGAATGGCCACAAAATTTGTGATTACGTTCTAAGAATAATCCGAAGACCTGTCCGAAAAGGAATAGTATAGCATCATTCTAAAAAAAAACAAAATTTATTATAACCATAGTAATTTATGTTGATTAATTTTATTGTTTTATGATTTTTGTGGAAATGATTGTTAATAATTTACATCAATAGCTTCGAATATCATGCCAATTATCTTAAATAAATATTGTACGATTTTCCCGTTTCGTACATCTTACAATATTTTTAAACTTACCAGAATAATGTATGAAATATAAGAAATTAGCTTAATTGAGACTAATAACTAGAAATTGTACATGAAATAACTATGATGATTTTATAATGCTCTTAATTAAAAAAAAAAATTTTTAAAAGATCACAACATATAAACTAGTTTTGAATAAAGTTTATAAAAATGCTGAATAGTTTAATTCAACAATTTTTTTCATATCATATATCTAATTTAGATAAGCATCTATTGTAAAAATAATATAAAATTAAATAGCTAATCAAACGATGCTTACATTGGTTTTACTAGTTTCATTTTGTTGAACCACTTTTATAAGTCCGGAAATCAATAAGTTCATTCCAGTTTATAAGTTAACATTGGTCCACACACTTCTAATATTACTAAACGCAATTCAAAAATGAAAACAATCTTTCGGAATAAATTACCGTTACACACTTTCTGTGCAAACTGTACTAATTAACGTTAATTGATTACCGTTACTACTCATTTAAATTTGCCATAATTTGGCCATACAAATATCCGAACAAACAAAAAAAAAATCTCCAGGATGCTACAATAATTAATAAAAATTGAGACAATCTTATTCGTTTACAAATTGTACGTAATACAAAAATATTCTAGGTGAATTAATATCATCTTTGTAACGTGTTATCATGTTCCTGGTTAGTGGTTAAAAGCTTTAATTTGTAACGCAACGATTCGAATTAAATAACTCGAATTTGGATTCGCAACCTTTTCTGTTCAAAACAATAGCTTTATGGTCATTTCTAAGTTGTTATTTAAAACTATTTACTATAGTTTCTGTCATTCCTTTATTTTTGTTAGCCATTCTTTATTGTTTGTTCTCTTGTAGATATTTTTGCAGAGCAATCGTCTACTCGAGAGAATTCGAGTAACATTCTTTTTTCCCTTACAGTCTTGAAACGCATATCTAAAAAAGAACAATGTTGTTTAAATCAATCCAACTAATTTTTTTCATTTTTATAGTTGGAATTATAAATTATGAGAACGGGATTAATGCCGATAGTTCGGTTAATAGTCCCACTAGTACCCTTAATGCAGTAGCAAGTACTGACAGTCCTAGCGCTAAAGCTTGTACAACACTCAATGCTTGCAATAAAGCCAAGACTATATGTGGGTCTGCATTTGTCCCCCCTACGTTGAACGGTTCGAGTCATTATTCAGCGTCGGGTAAGAATCAAAACATTCTTTTGCTATATATTTTTATACATTTTATAATTAATTCGTATTACTCTTTGATACAGACAAATGCGAATGTAGTATAATTTTTTATAACAATCTAACACAATGTTTAGCTTGTTATAAAAATGCGAAATATAATTATGCCATTGATGATATGAACAAATGGCAAAATGATTGTGCTGCTTTAGGTTTCGCATTCACTAGTACAGGAAATTCGTAAGTTTATCAAGTTTTTTTTCCAGTTAGATTAGCTCATTCTAATTTTTATCCTTCTTAGCTCAAATTCAGACAATTCCATCACCATTCTGATATACTTAATTATGTGTACAGCAGCAATTGCTATATTTCTTGGGGTATTCATCATGTGGTACCGAAAGAAACGTAAAATCAGACAAGCCGAAGGTAAATTTGTTTTCTATGTGCAATTTAAAAAATACTGTATAATGAATCTTAATAATTATTATAGAAGATGGAAATATTTATGATGATCCGATGAATCATTCAGGAAAAAAAGAATATGGAGTTGCCCACCAGCCAACATTCCAGCTTCAAAACATTCAAATGAAACAACATGCAAATGTGATGGGTTCAAATTGGAATGAATCGAAAAACACACTTGTAAACAGTTTGGGTTATATTGAAAAACAATCAACGACTCGGGAAGTCAGTGCCTTCGAACAAACTGCAACTCAGAAAGTAGGTGCTTTCGAACAAACAGCAACTCAGGAAGTTAGTACCTTTGAACAAACGGAAACTCAGGAAGTTAGTGCCTTTGAACAACCCGTAATTCAGGAAATTAGTGCCTTTGAGAAAACAGCAACTCAGGAAGTTAGTGCCTTCGAACAAACAGCAACTCAGGAATCTAATGCTCTTGAACAAACAGCAACCAGAGAATTTAATACCCTTAAACAAGCAACGACTCATGAGCAAAATACAACACAAGAATTTAGTGCTCTTGATAAATCAGCAGCTCAAAAAGTTAATGAAAACCCAATCTCACTAGAAATTGGCCAGCAGTATAACTACTATTCCGATGATGAATATGATGGCTATAGCAGCTATTATCGCAGCAGTAGTATAAAACATTAATTTATTATTAAGATACTGTAGATTAAATATAATCATGATGTTGCATAAAACAAAGAAAAGATTTTATTTCCCTTTCTTTTTCTTGTTTTATAAATGAAGTAGAATAATTTAATTATTTTATCAATCTATTAATTCGTAATAAATGTTAATGATATTAATACTGTAAAAAAAACTAAAAAAAAATCAAATTTTAGATTCGTAAAAAAATTCGACTTATCGTTATGTGACAAATTAGAAGTATGCCTTTATAATTCACTCACAGCCTTTAGATTTATTATTCATCCCAGTTACACTAAATAATATGTTCTTTAAAGTTTACTTTTGATGCATCGTAAAATTATGATCATGAATAACGAAAACGTTAACCATCATTCATTCTACCAGGAACATGTAAAACAGACCCGGCAACGATTAAATGTGATCAAATGTGTGTAAACTTGATCGCTTCGATAAATATGCTTTGACTATCAAACAGAAAAACTTTTTTTGCGAGGAAATTATATGATCCGAGTCTCTTATAGCTGTTTTCATAATTTCTGAAACGCCTAATAAAAAAATCTGCTGAAAGATTTTTCGGTTATAATAGATTCAATAAAATTATACATTCGTTTACAATTCCAATTCCCTAGCTTTGTATAATAAATGAAGCCTTATGTTCACACTTTTTAACACAAATTCCATATTGATAGCAATGCCCAGCGTTCAATATCTTTTTTTATAAAATCGTGGTCTCATTTTAATGACAAAGATTCTTTCAATGAAATAGATATTATATACGTTTCACATTCTTTGTCTCTTTTAATTTACACAACTTCTATGCTTCATATCAAGACTTTTCATCCAAGCTGCCTGTATCATTAATTTATGAGTACTAGTTTTTTCATTGAATACAAATTTCCTAGCTTAATGCGAAATGTGTATCCAAACAAGTATATATAAATTATGTTAAAAGAAATTTATTAGTTTTTTGAAATTCTTTCTGAATTATTTTAGTGATCATTAAATGTCGCGGATTATAATGAAATCGGATTAAAATGAAATGAGAGGTTTTCTATTTGCTCCCCTAAAACCCACTTATACTTGTTTATTATAAAACCTACATCTAAACCCTAATCATAACCCTAAAGAAATGCTAAAAAAAGTGCACCCCAAAAATTTGTATTTTTTGGTGGCTTGTCTATTTTACACTATCTCTCATTTCATTTTAATCTGATCCGTCACATTAAGTGTGATTTTGTTTTTCTTTTTCTAGTATTGTTTTCTATATATTCTAAACCCCTTTTTACAGCTGTTATCATTATTCCTGGGACACCTT